ATATTTAAAAGTCAGAAAAAGGAAAAAAACATTGCTCTTGGGTATTTCTCTTAATTACTCACTTATTTCTTATGTAATATTTTTCTTCATCATGCCACTGCAGATGCCAATATATAGGTAATCAGTTCCTTACTGTAATAGTTTTGTTCTGTGTTGAGGAAATGTGTTTGCAAGTTACTTGTTACTAAGGCTCTCCCAGCTGATAAAGAAGTAGTTGATATATTCATTTTTCTTTATTCCTCCATTCACTGGATAGTTATTGAATATCTACAATGACTTAAGTGCTAGGGTGTTTAGCAGAAGACAAAGAGGCAAAGCCCTGACTTTATGGAACTTAGATTTTATGATCAATTCTCTACATGGTGTAGAAAAATGGGAAATTAATTAAAACTCTTAATTATAGAAGTGTGTTGTTGCCTACGCAATGTTATTTGAAGAGAGCTTTAGACTTCTTTCTTAAAAAAGCCTTCTCATTGCCCCTGTAGAGAAGGAAGCCTTAATTTCCACCAGCTATGCTCCTTTCAAAAGTACAAAACTCTGAGACAGACAAACATCGAAGACTTAGCAGCTGCCAGTAAATAAGGAAGAACCCAGTAGAGCCTTTCCAACCTTCTAGGTGGCTCTCGATCCATTAAGTGGGTAGCAGGTGAGTTTTGACTGGGGGATGGTGTCAGGTGGCAAGGAAGGTGAAAGGAGGAAGTCTCAGAGCCAGAGCCATGATTTGGGATGACAGGCTAAGGAGACAGTGTGAGGAGAGACAGAGGACATGGAGCATCAGAGAAGGGCGACGGAGTGTGAGGAGGAGGGCACCAAAGATGAACTCGTCCATTCACTGCTGTTTTGCGGGTTGCCCTGGAACCTCCATGCCTTTCTGCCAGTCGCCTAAGCCATTGTTCTTTTAGATGGCAGGGGGCTTGTTGCAGACCACTTAGGAGAAACCACAGCTGCCTGGATGACCTACAGTTACAGCTGGAAGAACAGTGTCACAGACCTATGACTGCATGTGACAAAATAGCTTCTGCCTTGTTCTCACAATAAATATTCAAATACTGATGCATTTTGCAGTGTCCCAGCATGATCACCTTTAGACTCTTTTGCTCTAATTATATAACTAATTATAGAAGTTATCATTCTCACTATTACATTTTTTGCTTTAACTGTGGGATACAGTCTTGAGCACAAAACGTTCATGGATATAATTTTCCACACTAGGAAAGGTCAAGCGCATGCAGCTTTTAAAAATTTGAATAAACCAAGCACAAATCCTCAAATGACTATCCCACTTTCCAAATTTGAAGCTGGGGAATTATTAATTTTTTTCAACAGACTGTGAACACGCCCCTGGAAGCACAGGTTTATAATTGAAATGTTGACACAACCTTACAGGCTCACAGCATGAGCGGTGTTGTTCCAATAAATCTCGTCCCTAATCCTTGGAGAGAACTTAAGGCAGAGATTCACTTTCTATATCAGGTTTCATTTTACTGAAAGGCTTCTGAAGATAAAGCTAATAAACTACGAAGGGGCAGATACAATGTGGGCTAACGGGTTAAAGGGCTGGAGAAAGCTCTGTAATTCTCAGAAATGGGAAACAGATGTTGTTTGACATTTTGAAGCACAGTTTCCTTCTCCTTTGCACACTTTTGGCTATCACGGTTTTCAAAGCAGAGATGTATTACTGTAAATGAGAATGGCTTTGCGATGAGTTTCCTGCTTAGAGAACAGAGAGGCCTAATATTAAGACTAATTTTTATTTAATGCAGTGTCTTTTCACATAACGGAATCACAAATTGCGTTAGGGAACTGAATGGCTTTGGTACAATTTATCATGAAACCTCAGAAATTAAATAACACCTCACGAAAATGAGTAAATATAATTGGAAAGAAACACTGCCTGAGCCTGGAACTCCCGTGCATATTAATTTCTGCTGCTGGGGGAACTGCCCTGACTTGCACTGCCGGCTGGTGACTTCTGTACAGATAAACACCTGCAGCTTCAGCTTTGCAGGTGTAAGCAGGACTAGGGACTTGGTATTTTACAGAAAGAGCTGGGAACGATAATGGTGACAGCGAATGCTGCGTGCAGGACATAGAGGACGCTGGGAGGCAAGACTCTAAATGACACGGTGGGCAGATAAAGCCCCAGGTGGCCAGTGGCCTTCTCCACATAGAAGCTGTGAGCACAGGGGAGCCTTGTTACAGGAGTGACTGGGTGTAGGGAGGGACTAGGCGGATGAGAGCCAGTGTATGAGCAGCAAGAGCAGCGACCCCGCTGGAGTTTTACAAGCTGTGGACAGTAAAGCTCTTCTCTGTTTATGTAACTTGCATCTCTGCTACCAGTTGTGATATCTATTCCAGCTTATTGGGATCAAGCATGAGCGACTGCTATGTTGGCTCTTTCTGTGGGTTGGCTCAGAGGGCATCAGATCAGAGCGGAAGTGAACGAGGTGGGCTGATCTGTGTGAGGCATTGGCAGCTTGTGCTGGACACCATATGTATGCAAAAGGTGTGCATTTTCTATATCTTCTAAAGTCCGGTGTGTAGGACTATGCTTGATTATACAGCATTTAATATTTAGGAAACTAAAATAATAAAAGCATATTATTTTATGTTGTTAATAAGTAATATTAACAACAATCTATGTTTTTAAAAAATTATTATTGATTTTTAGAGAGAGAGAAAGGGGGAGGGAAAGAGAGAAACAGTGATGTGTGAGAGAAACATTGATCTGTCAGTTGTCTCCTTTACACACCAGTGACAGGGGATTGAACCTGAAACCTGGGTATGGGCCCTGACCGGGGAATCGAACCAGTGACCTTTTGGTGTACAACAACACTCCAACCAACTGAACCACACCCACCAAAGCAAGTATGTTTTACACATAAACGTAGCTAACTGACTAAAGCTACCATGGCAGGTGGTCCAAAAAAACAAATGATTGGCTTATTTTTTTGGTGGGCATGGGGGGGCAGAATGACCCATTTTTATTAGCTCTGCTTTCCACTGGAAATGAAAGAAAATCATATCCAAATATTGAATTTTAGCTCAAATCTCATCTCTTTCCTGCAGAATTCCCAATAGCCCCAGGCCTCCATAGCTTGTCTTTCCGGATTATTGCCTAAGTCTTCCACTTGGTGATAAAAATAATATCAAAGTCAAGTGCAAAACAAAACAAGTTGAGTAAAACAAGAAAAAACACACACACACACACCAAAATGCTAATGACAAAACGTAAATATTGGTAATTAATCTTAGAGAAATTGACTTGAATAAATTAGCAATGAACACTCAAAGTTTAATTGTTTTGGTATACATATGCCAATAGTTAGGCATATTAATTCTGAGATCATTTTTACAGTTCTTATCACTGATCATAAGTGATCAAATTCTCTTGGGAGTGGAGGGCTAATACCCCAATAGCTTTGTTTTGTTGTGGAGTATTCTCGAAAACTCTCTTTCTTTATTATACTAGAGGCCTGGTGCATGAATTCGTGCAAGGGTGGGGTCCCAAGGGGAATGGGGGGGTGGGCAGTGGGATGCCCTTACTGGCCCAGGATCTAGATCCGTCCTGCTGACATTCGCGCTGGTTGTCGGGAGCCACCTGGTGGATGCTTGTTTCTTCCTTGTGGAGCATCTAGGGTGGGAAAGCGGTGGTGGTGCCCAAGGCTGACTTCCAGGAGGCGGTGGCGTGCTGTTGGGATTGTGCCTGTGGCGCTGATCCATCGGTGCCTGGCCCTAGCCCATTCTCTGGGGATTGGACCTGCAGGACTACTGAGGGAGTGAGTGGCTGCCTTAGGTAGGTGGGTCTCAGCTGAGCAGGGCTTCTGCTGTAGGAGCGCACTGACCACCAGGGGGAAGGTCCTGCATTGAGCGGCTGCCCCCTGGTGGTCAGTGTGCATTATAGTGACCAGTCGTTCGGTAGTTTGGTCGCTTAGGCTTTTATATATAGACTAGAGGCCTGGTGCACGAATTCATGCATGGGTGGGGTCCCTCTGGGTGGCCTGCAGTGATCGGGCTGAAACCCACAGTCCAACGCAGCCTGCAGCTCCTACCTGTCGTTCCTGCTCATCCTGGCCCCACTGTGCCTGCCGCGGGCTTACGCCCAATCAGTCCCATTCGGGAGAGGTTCACACTGCCGCAGCAGTACTCACCAGACATGAGCCCTGCGTCTGGTGCCCTACCAAGAGGAGTGGCCTGCGGGATTGGGCTGAAACTGGCTCTCTGACATCCCCCAAGGGGTTCCGGATTGTGAGAGGGTGCAGGCCAGGCTGAGGGACCCCACTGATGCATGATTGGGCCTTGAAGGGACCGTGGGAGGGCTCTAGGGCGTGTCTGTCCCATCTCACTGAGTCCTGATTGGCCGAACCCCAGCAGCAAGCTAACCTACCAGTTGGAGCATCTGCCCCCTGGTGGTCAGTGCACATCATAGCTAGCGGTTGAACAGCCTTAGCATATCATTAGCATATTATGCTTTGATTGATTGCTCGGTTGTTCTGCTGTTCCGTCTATTTGCATATTACCCTTTTATTATATAGGATAATTTTTGGCATTTGACCCTATTTATTTCTAGGTCTTTCTCCTGTGCTGCTTTCCTGAATACACAGTGAAATATAGACCACACTATTTGTTTGATATTCTGTTTGTTCTTCAAGAATAATGTCTTAGTGAAATATCATAGGGTATTTGGTCAGTCTTTTCAGCCTCTCTTCTACTGGTTATGCTCAGACACTTCTGCATGCTGAGCTTTTATGATACTTACCTTGAGTTCATCTATTTAAAACATTTATTATAAAACTAAGAAACCCTTGTTAAAAATGTTAACATATAGTACAGCCACATGCATAAACTAAAAAATAAAAGATACCTTCCCCCATTTGGGCTGGCCTTCCCCAGCCAGTCAAAATCCTGCCTACCGAGGGCATTAAAGTCATATCAAACTATATTTATAATGGAAGCTAAATTTAAAACTAATATATGTAATACATATCACAACATGTATCTACAGAAATAATTTTTAATGAAATTTTACATTTATTTCACTGAAATTACAATGCATCACTACTAGTTTCCTAATGCAATAATAACCTCATGTTTTCTCTCTCTTTATAACCTTTTTATTCCTTTTAATCCACTCCTCCCCACTTGTGTCTTTTCAGCCTTTGCTACTCTTAGCTTGTGGTAACTATGTTAGAGGCAGTAACAAAGATTTTTGTTGTGTGATCTATTACTTCTCCCAGTACCTTGCATGTAACATCAATACTAATGATTATTGCAATGAAACGAGTCCTTAGTAAATATAGAAAAATATGATATATATGAGGTTCCCATTTAAGCTAAACACACTATGGAGCCCTATGGCATACAAAGGCAAGCAGCATGCATTGAATATTTAGAAGCACTGCTGTGTCTTAAAGCAACCATGCTGCTTCTTTGGGTTTCCTGTCAGGAGCTAATGTGCAATGGCCATCCTGTGCTCTGGGGTCCAAAGCAGAGCCAATAGTGTAGTAATGATATTACAATTTTCTCTAGAAAGAAAGCAAAAGCCTTTGTCTTTGTGGCATAAAAACATCTATGTCCTACTGAGAGCTTTGCAAAATGAGGATCTGAACACTGCTAACAAAATGGTTTATGCCATGTCCTTTCTTCATGCTATTAGTCTTGTCATCAGAGTTCTGTCAGTGGCCAGGATTTTGGTTTCTGCAAGCTGGTAACACTTACTTGGCATCTTGTGGGCTAATGAAAATGAAGTAATGTGGAAGACCTTACTCTCAAGCACCTCTGGAAAAGACAGAGGAGCAACTGGGTTTAGGTCTAGACCCGGAAGAGAATTCAAGGGCTTACATCTGCAATATGGGCTGAGAAAAAACACCATAAAGAGTATACATTAGTGTTATTGTTACTTCTTGATCAAGGTTTTGGACTATTGCCCATGCCTTTATTCGTATGTCAAAATATTTGCATGTTCCCCTCCCCCCAAGATATGATTGAACGATAAGTTTTATTTTAATCTGAGGACTGGGCATTTTTGGTGGAAGTATATCCCTGATTATTTGCTTATAGTTAACCCAATACTTGTTGCATTATGGATGTGGAAAGCACACAGACTCCTGAACTGAGAGAATCAGGAGACTGAAGTTCCAAGTTTCACAGTCAATCAACAGCATGAACCTGGTCAACTGAATTCTGGGTCTAAGTTCACAAAATGTGAAAGGTGGGTTAGATGAACTACAAGATTCTTGCCAGCCCTAAAATTCTTCTTATTATTTTAATGTGAGACTTACTCAGTACTTCCCAGCTCCCCACTGGCAATGACTGACATGCTTGCAATGGGAAAGAGTCCATCAGAGCAAGTTAGTTCTTTGCTCTGCACTGACTTGTCTCAATGAGCATTGCACAATATTCAATAAGAATTCTGGAGCCTTTTATCACCAGGCCACCTCTTCTCTCAGAAGATGTTTTGCCCCAAGAAAGCCTCGTGGCTTATTCTTTCACCTCCTGCAGGTTTTGTTAAAATGTTACCGGCCAATGAGTCTTTTCTATCCCTCTTATGTTAGTTGAAACCCACCCTCACTGTAGCACTTCTACTTCCTTTTTCTGCTTTATTTTTACTCCAAAGCACTATCACCATGAGACATACTGTATCAGCTGAGATCCATTCAAAATGCAGAAACCATGTAATAAGTTAACATAGAGGATTTAATATAAGATTCTTAACCAAGTATTAGAGAACTGAAAGGGGGAAAAAAAGAAATAAAAAAGAAAGGCAAGTGAGGTTTTATAGAGGTATTAACTATGTGAAGCAGCTAGGGCTGTGTTTTGGGCTGAATTGGGTCTTCCCCAAAATTCATGTTAAAGTTTTAGCATCCAGGACTTCAGAATGTGGCTGTGTTTGGGGATAGGGCTTTTAAAGAGGATTAAATTAAAATGGGTGGTTCCTACCCCATCTGAAGGTGTCCTTGTAAGAAGAGGAGGTTAGGACACAGACACAGAGGGAACAGGTGAAGACACAGGGAAGAGATGGCTATCTGAAAGCCAAGGAGATTGGCCTCAGGAGAAACAATTCTGTCCACATCTTGATCTTGGACTTCCAGCTTCCAGAACTGTGAGAAAATAAATTTCTGTTGTATAAGCCACTCAGTCTGTGATACTTTGTTATGAAAGCCTAGTGGACTAATACAGGCTTGGAGAACAGCAGGAAGAAGTTGGGTAATTAAAATTTAGAAGCATAGAGCTGAAATTCTCACCTCTGAGGAGGAGATACTGCTTATCTGGGGGGGGGGGGGTGGTCTTTTTTTAAATATATTTTATTGATTTTTTACAGAGAGGAAGGGAGGGGGATAGAGAGTTAGAAACATCAATGAGAGAGAAGCATCGATCAGCTGCCTCCTGCACACCCCCTACCGGGGATGTGCCTGCAACCCAGGTACATGCCCTTGACCAGAATCGAACCGGGGACCCTTCAGTCCGCAGGCCAACACTCTATCCACTGAGCCAAACCAGCCAGGGCAAGGGGGGTGGTCTTTAAGGGGGCATAGTGAGGTGTGAAGTGTGGAAAAACTGAAAATTGGAACCACTTGCAGCTTCTGAAATCAACCATTGTTGCCAGGATAAAGAGCCATTGATGGGGAGCTGTTGGCAGGAGCAAATGGAAGAGGCAGGTTTCTTCTTCCAACCCCACCACTCTGGTCTCTCTCTGGCACCTCCTATTAGCAGATGGAGACTGTTGGGTCCCGGTGTCACTAGAGAAAAGTGAAATAGAGAAGTAGAGAAACTCAAAGATAACAGCTTAATAACATTTCCTCCAACTCTTTTCTTTTTAATCTTTTTAATCTGCACTACTGGAACATAAGCTCCATGAGGGAAGGGATTTTTTTTTATCTACTTCTGGATCCCAAAGACTGAAGAGAACCTAGAGTGTATTCAGATAAGTATTTATTAAATGGATGAATAAATATCTTCTAAATTTTGAAAGATACTTTGGGAAAAAGTATAACATTTTGCCAATGAGAAAACAGGAGTTCAAAGAAGCTAGATAATTTTGGAACTGGGTAAGGATTTTAAAGCCACAACTTTCTTCCATCAGTCAAAGAAGCATGGATCACAAGACATGGTAGGCCGGACCTTTCAGACATTTGGGAGTCTTTGTGTTATTCTGCTTCTTGTTTTTATGGGAATTTGTGTTGGTGGTTAAATTCTATGTTTCATTTCAGAGCCAGGACATGAAAGGTGATAGTTTTGGCCAAAAAGAATTTGGTTGACCAGAGATGGCAAGAAAGTGTGTGAGGATGTTAGTAAAATATTCTTGGTGATGCCCTAAATAATCCTCAGATCTTGGAAGGTAAGATTTATAATGTTCATTTAAAAAAGTGAAAGCAAAGTAGAGAAAATTCAAGACGTTTACTCATTACGTTCAGGAGCTTAGTGGATCAGGTAGATATCTAATTATCTAAATGTGTATCTAGTTTGAAGTACCAGATCATGATAATTTCCCTTTAGGTTAATCACCTTAGAGAAACTAACTAAAACTCTGCTATAATATGTGTCTTTTTTCTTTTGAGGAAGATGATTTTCAATTGCAAGGATCCTATCCATCTTTCCTTCTTAAATCTTCTTTCCATTTATCCATTCTCTTCCATTAATGCATTTATCTTTAACATTTTAATTATTAGACATTAATTAAAGATTTCCAGGTTCATTGCATATGTTAGGATTATATTTTGATACAAATAAACCTAAAATAATAGCAGCTTAAGCAAGATAAAGGTTATTTGCCTCACAAAAGAGAAGCATCGCACAACGTTTCTCTGGAGACCCACGTAATTCTGCCTTACATTTCATTGATCAGACTTTAGTCACAAAGCCACATCTAGCTGCAAAACAGGTTGAAAATGTAATATGTGAACTGTATAATATATCATTTTTTTTGTTGTTATGAAGGAAAAAAGACCAAAAGGTGGCAATCAGCAGTATTTACCACACACAGCTCTCTACTTACTGCCTTCCTCTGCTTAATTGTATATCCAATGTTGGCCCTTTTTGATTCCTTGGATGCCTTGACTATTTGGCTATTAAAAAGTGAAAATTTGGAAGGGAAGAGGACAGAGAGATTAGATGCACAAAACTTAGAAGGCTGAAGTACATTTATAAAGACTTTTGAGCTGGGAATGGTGATAAAAATATAGGCAACATTTACTGAACACTTACACCAAGTGCCAAGTACATATTTATGCCTAAATATTTTACATATGCCATCTCACTTAACACTCAAAGTAAACCTATGAGACAGTATTATTATTATCATCCTCATTTCATACCTGAGGAGGCAGTCCTAGAGAATTTTGATAACTTGTCTAATTTCAGTGGCCAGTGATGGTATAATATATTTTTTAAGCTCACTGCTTCCAAAGATTGAGTTCACTCACTAAGTTCCTTATGAGGCAGGAAAGTAAGAAACTGGGGAAACTCATTGACAAGTGGAATAAGGAAAACTGAGACAAATTAATTAAACTAGGCCAAACAATTTGAGCAATTTATAGCCAGCTAATGAATCATACAGTTTTATCTTCCCTAACCAAGGACACTTAGGAGCAAATAGTCTACCATTCCAGACTGTCCCAGGGAAGACCAGCCTCAGTCCCAGTACCTCTTCAATAACATTCTTTAAAAATAAAACTAGCCAGAAAGTAACCCTGACCCTTCTACATACACCTTTTGATGAATCAACATATTAAAGGACACACCTGGAAACCTAATGAATATTCTGGTAAGACCATCCCTGATACTTTCCCTAGGATTCCCATTGGCCAAAAAAAGATAAAAAGCCTCAAGACAAAGGACCCGTGGTGCACTCTCATTAGAGCACATCCATGCCTTGTATCTCTGCTCTTTCTCCCAAACTCTATTGGACTTGCAACCAGGGGAGTAGCAGGCAGTGGCAGCTCATCCCGGACTTACCCTCTGAACCTGTCTCCAAGGCCCTGTTTTTCCCGGAGTTTTCAGTGAATGAGCAGCAGCCCTGCCTTGGCTCACTTCTTTTACTGTGGCTTCCATTTCTCAGTGAGCCAAAGCAGCCCTACCTAGGCTCTCTCCTGTTGCTTCTTTTACCTATTGCTTCTTTAAGCCCTTCTTTTGTTTCACTGTCCCCAGCTTTAATAAACATAATGTCAAAATCATCTGGACGCCTATTGTGAAATCTTTCCTGCACAAAGTTAAGAACCCACACACTAACAGCTGACCTGAGGCAGGCCCACTCTAGGCACAGTCACTGTGGGATAACATATCTCACTGGGGAGGCTAAAGGGATAGCAAGGTACTAATGAGAAAGATCTGTTTCAAAGTATCTATAGATAGTTCCTTTCTCTAGTCTAAAGCTTTTACTAACAATAAATTTTGGCATCCATGTTTGTAGCATGAACCCTGACTGCCTCGGAAATGGACACCACCCCTTCAACTGCTTCTCGGTGCTTCCTTTCCTTGGCATATCCAGTTAAATTATGGAGGAATTGAACTGTGGGGAAACAGAATTGAAAGATTCAATGGGGTGAGCAGGGACTTCCATCTGAAGGTGGAAACAGGAGAACTTGTACAGCGTGTGCTACTCCTTTGCCGAGGTGATAGTACTGCCTTGAACTCAGAACTGCTCTCTGAGTCATGACCAGGAACCAGAGTTTCATGGCCTCAGGAGTCTCTGTTAGGCTTACAATAAACTCTTCATGTTCAATTTCATTTAGATGTGCTTCTGCTTTTTATAATCACAAGGACCACAAGCATAACTGACCTGCATTTGGAACACACCTGCTTTAGAGTGTGATGGTTGGCAGCACTGACTCTGCACCCAGGGTGCTTGGGTGCAAATCCAGCTTCATCACTTATTAGCGGCGTGGCCGTGTGCAAATTACTTTACCTCCCCGTGCCTCAGTTTCTTTATAGAATGATGCATTAATTATGCATGACACATGGTTAATATTATATATCTGTTTAATTATTACCCTTACTGTGTTTCTTCTTTGAGAAAAACAGCCTCTGCTTCTGACATCACAGAGTCAAAAGAAATAGTAATGATAAAATAATAATAATAGCTACTATGTATTGATAGTTTTCTATGTGCCAGAGATTGTTAATTGTGTCAGTTGGTTCATTATGACTCCCCAAAACCTGTGAGATAGGTAACATTACTCCTTTTTTCAAATAAGGAATTGAGGCCCAGAGAAATTAAGTAATTCATGATCATCAATAAGAAATCAACTCAAGATTCACATTTAGACCTGATTTTAAAATCTGTGGTTCCTTCCTTGGGCCACAAATCACCATGTACTTGCTCTGTGCAAAGTAGGCTGGGGAAAATTGTCCAGTGTCCCTTGAGTCTCTAATGAGATATGCCATATAGTTCTCAAACACCTTGCATTAGTATAGTCCTTTTTTTTTTTTTTTTGCATTATGAAATTACTTTAACATGAATTACTTCATTTTCTGTTGTATATCCCAGGCTTCATTGGCATAAAAAGCATGTTAAGTCTTTTGAGTAGATAAGAAAAATTCACTCAAATTTTAGTTAATATCTCTGAGTGTTATTTTTTTTTTTTCTCTCTCCAAGATCTGACCTGTAAATGGCTCATTTTGTCAGTGTTTTGAGCACAGAACTTTCAGCTGATGGGCTGTGAATGAAGTCTGTGACTGGTGGTGGTGGTGAATGAGGAGGGAGAGAAAGTGAATTATAGTAAAAGGAGGCAATCAATGTTTAAACAATAGCTCACCATCAGCAAAAGAAATCCTCATGCACTTCAGAACTCTGCTTTGTGTGGTGGGAGCCAGAGGGACCACAACCACAGCTATCTCATGTCTTTTAAATCTATCTTGGGAAATTAGCTGCTCAATGGCTTTTGAATGTGCTTGGGCAGCTTGTAGTTGTAATGACTGACAGGCTGGGGAAATCTGGACCTTTATGGAATAATGGTTTTAGGGGAGAGAAAAGAAAATGTTCTGATTAGATGTCATTGAAAGCTTTATTTGTACTGTTCATGACACTAAAATATGAGGATACCATCCTGACTTGATCTATTAAAATGGCTTAAACAGACTCTGGATTGACAATACCGGTTTTATAAAGTTAAGCCTAAAGTGGAACTGGTTTTCATCCCAATTGGCTTGAGGGTGGGAGAGGTTAAGTTTGGTGTCAGGTTTGAGCAGACACTGATACTGTTTCCAAAGCCCTAAGAAAATTTCCAGAGTCTTAGCCCCAGATATCTCTTATTATTTCCCTTATTGCCAGTTTTCATTTCAGGTGGAGAAATGAACATCACAATTTAGCCAGTTTTGTTTCTTTATAACTGGAAACGACATTAGTATTTCACACATTATTGCAAATATCTCTATCTGATAGATAAATGTTTTAAGACTAGTGAGAGAATCCTGTTTAATCTCCTCTCCTGGGACATGAAAGTTTCAGGCATATTTTGTTTCATCATCTATGCAGTAACCATGGTTGACTACATAATATTTTTGTACTTAGCTATGCAGCTATTTCTTCACATGGCCTTGCTTAGTAGCATCTGCATTGTATATCCAGCTGAAATGGTGCATCTACAGGCAAGGACAATAGCAAAAATGTAAAATAGGATGGTTTAGCAAGTTATACATAATAGTTTTCATTTCATAAACATCTAATTCAAAAGATTTTAGTATTTCTAATCTAATATTTTTCATTCCTATGAACATAGTATATCATGTAACAAGTGTATGGTAGAATGATCATTTTTTTTAGCATTTTGAGTTTGCAAAGCATTTTATAATACCATCCCAATAATAATCTAAATTAGTGACTGGTACCAATTTACAGATGAGAAACCTGAGGTTGATGGGGCAAGTAATTTATCTAAAATCATGCAGATTTAAATTTTGGCCAATAGGCGAAATGTAAACCCAGGCTAGGATTCTAATGTCAAACTCTTTCATTATTGTGTGAGGACAGCAGGACAGGGCGGTAGTTATGTAGGCAGATAGTCAGATACAATGGATCAGAGACCACCAAAACACATGGCATTTTGACACCTTCCTATAGAAAGCCTTAAACAAGATGCTACTCACTCAATTCAAAATCAAATGAGAACAAATAATTTCATTCATAGATGAGCTCCTAATACCTGTTGTGTTAATCCTCTTCCTTTAAAATCATTTTATCTCTCTAGTTAAAATCGCCCTGGACTAGATCTTAACTTCTAGCAAAAGTTCAGAGTTTTATAGGTAAATCCCTTCAATGTCTCACATGGCTCCCAGATTTCTCAATGAAAGTTGCATAGCATCTCCTTTGTTATCGTCAAGTGGCACGCTCATAGAGATAGATAAACCATGCAATTATGGGGTAGAGCTATAATTACCTCTGCTTTCTAAACCACAGCGTAGGATCTTTATGCTACTTCTTTTGAATGGGATAGAGTTAATTGTTATTACTATGTTATCATGTAGCATTAACTAATAAACCCAACTAAGCTACCTAGTAATTCAAGAGTCGTTGCATAACAAAGAACCTGGTGACTTAAAGCATGATCAGCATTTATAAAATGTGTGAGCTGCCGTCACCACTACTGTAACCCATCAAATTGTTGCTGCTTGCATTCAGCTGGGGATTATAGCTCTCACAAAAGCCTTCGGGGCACTGCAGTGTCCTGAACCTGGTTTTGAAACACCTGGAACAGTACATAGGCTTGAAGACCTGGCATGGCTGACTCAACAATGTAATGTCACTCACTGTGCTGTTTGTGAGTATTTAGGAAGAGAGCTTAAAACTGGATTTTTGTGTGCCCATATGGACTCGAGGCATTTGGGGAAGGAGTAGGAGTGTCTTTATGTTCAATAAACAGCAAGCCTGCTGTACTGGTAATGTTATGGAGTGGAGAGATAGAAAAAACTGGTTTGGAAAAGTTAGAACTCCTGTTTATGCTACTCATTCTGACCTATCACCCAATTTTATAGAAGTGTCTGGAGCCAACATTTGGAACATTTTCTTGCTCCTTGTAATGCACCTTTGAGTTGTAGAATAACAAACAGGTATCTTTCCAATTATACATTGTACCTGGATCTATGAATCGATGTATCTTCATATCAGTCTATCTGGGTATCTTTATATCTATGTATATGTTTATTTGGGAACTTATGTATCTCTCTTTATATCTTTATGGGACATGCTGGCATGAATAGGCCCAGATTACTAACTCCAGACTGGAGTTCATGGATAACAAGAGGAAACTCGAAAAGGGCCTACATAGTTTAGAGCCTGAGGCTTTCTGGCTTTCTAGAAATCCTGCGTTTGCCCCTCCCCTCCCCCCTCTGCCTCCCACCAACACGTTGCTTCTGTGATGTCTCTTGCATCTGTCTGCTCCCATTGCATCTATGCCAACTGAGCTCTTTACTTACCATCAATTGGAATACTATGATAGTATCACAAACAGGTTCCCTGCCTCCTCCCTTCTAATACCCTAAACCACATGTCCTATCTCCTGTTCAGACACTGAGCTTGATTTTCTAAAGTTTACCTGGCTGTTCAAAGCCTTCTGCAACTTCCTTCTGTCTACTTTCCCAGCTTCTTTCTCCTTATGCCCTGGTCAGGACCCTTGAAGTCCCACCAGAGTGGTTGCTGTTTTTGAGATATTAGGTAGCACTTTCCTTCTTCTGTGCCACTTCTTTTGCTAGGCCTTCCATTTAAAATACTTTCCTACCCATCTGAACATTTGAGCCCTTCTTGAAAGACATTTCTGATATAAAAAGTCTTTGATTATCTTCCCAAAAAAACCTTAGATAGGCCTTATATGCCCTAATTGATTCAATCCTGTTGCAATCATGGACTCTCAATGTTATAATTCTAGGTGTGTCTCAAATTTGGGTCCTTTGTTTCACCCTCTTTGTCACTACTTTAGTTTAGGGGATTGCTTCTTTTCTGAAATATTGCAAATTATATGGCAAATTATATTCATTAACTCCTGTCTTCCAGTCATCCACACATATTGCTATGTTTAAAATGCTAATATAATCATTTACTTATTACTTCTCTATCTAAAATCATGTCACAAGAAAAGGGAGATTGGGTAGATGAGTAAGGAGGAGCTATTATAATCTATAGGTTTAAAGTTTTATCAAATTTTTAATAATTTCTGCCATTAGTTCTTCAAATAATTTTCTTCCCCCCTCTTCTCCTTTGTAAATTCCAATTACATGTATATTTGACTGCTGGTTATTTTCTCACAGCTCAGTGATGCACTGCTCTTTTTTTAAAATTGTATTTTCTATGTTTTATTTTGGATAGTTTCTATTATTATGTCTTCAAGTTAATTATTTTTTTTCCCTATAATATCGAATCTGCCATTAATCTCATCCAGTGAGTTTTCCATTTCACACATTGAAATTTTCATTTCTAGAAATTGGATATGGGTCTTTTTAAAAAATCTCTTCCATCTTTCTACTTAACTTTTTGAACAGATGGACTATGTTTATAATAATGGTTTTAATGTCCTTGTCTGCTAATTCTAAAAGTTATATCTGTTCTGGGTATTTTGATTGATAGATTTTTCTCTTCATTATGGATCATATTTTCTGTCTTCTTTGCATGTTTTTTTTTTATTAGATATTAGACACTGTGGAATTTGCATTATGGGATGCTGGATTTTTTTAAAATTTCTGTAAGTGTTCTTTTTAAAAAAAAATATGATTTTTGAGACAGAGGGAGAGAGAGAGAGAGAGAGAGAGAGAGAGAGAGAGAGAGAGAGAGAGAGAGAAAGGGAGAGGGATAGAGAGATAGAAACAATGATGAGAAATATCATCGATGGGTTGCCTACTGTAAGCTCCTTACTGGGGATCAAGCCCACAACCCAGGCATGACTGGGAATCAAACCAGCAACATTTTGGTGCACTGAACAATGCTCAACCAACTGAGCCACACCGGCCAGGGCTCTGTAAGAGTTCTTGAACTTTGTTCTGGGATGCAGTCTAGTTACTTAGAAACAGTTTGTTCCTTCTGGGTCTAAGATTTATTAGGTGGATGGAGCAGTGCTCCCTCTAGGGTTAATTATTCTCTCTATTGCTGAGAAAATACCCATTTAAGTACTCTACCTGATGTCCTGTGAATCTTGAGGCTTTCTAATCCAGCTTTTGGGAAATATTCCAAAGTCTGAGTGAGTGCCAGGCACTGTTACCTTAAAATCCCTTTGGATGATTCTTTTTGTGGTCTTGAATAGTTTCCTCAGATGCATGAGCCGGTCAGTACTAAGTTGGGTAGTAGAGGGGGTGTTACCTGCAGATATCTGGCATTTTCTCTCTGAGCAGCTCTCTCTCCTTTGATACTTGATCTTTAGAACAGGATTGCCTTGGTCAACTTAGCGCCTCAACTCCAGGGCCATGACTCACACAATACATTAAGCCCCACCTGAGTTACCGCTTCTTGGAGATTCTCTCAAGGCAGTAAGCTGTGCTATTATTAGGCTCACTGTGTTTTCTTTTCATCTTTGAAGGATCATTGCCCTTCATTGTCTGATATACATGGTCTTACAGACCATTCTTTCGTGGATTTTTAGTTTATTCACGTTTTGGTTATTTCAGGTGGGAGGGAGATTTGGTTGCAATTATTCCATCTTAGCTGGATTAGCTTTATTTGAAATTATATGTTCACATTTATCTTCAAATATATAATTCTTAAAATAGAATTGTCCTACTTCCTAATCTCCTTTTAATATTTTTTTTAATCTTTTTTGTTTTCTACAAGGGAATGCAACTTGCTAGAACAAAGTGAGTCTTCTGAATGATGAGCCAACTGTTCTGCAACTTTTTCTCTTCTTCATTCTACAAATTATTGTCTTTCATCCTTATAGAGTTTTAACACTGACCTGCAAATGTCCTTGGCAACATGTCTGCCTTTATTATGTCTTCTTGCATCATAAGATGTTTTATTGCAGATAGATTATTTGTGTAAGTTGTGGACTAAGAAGGTTTAGATCAACACTTACAAAAGTAATATGCTTTGGGTCAGTAGAAATAACATTTTTATTATTTTGTACTATTGGGTAATGTTACTACTATCCTATCTGTAATGTGGATTCATATTTGATTATTTTTTTTAACTCTTACCATCACCTGATATCTGATGTCTAATTATGTCAATTGTATTTCTATAAGTTTTTAGCATTTGTGCTTCCCTTTGTATTTCCACTTCCTAGTTTAGGCTCTAATAAAATACTCCTTGACAGCTCTAATAGTCTCTCTTCCCAGTCCCCTGTACACACAGATATTTTAGAAAATTTAAAATTTTATTTAATAAACAAACTCCTAGCTCTGCCACTTTCTAGGTAGGTGGCCTTGAACCATAACTTAATTGAAACCTTAATTTTCTCATCTGTAAAATGGGAATAATTATACTCCATAGTATTGTTGTAGGAATAACTTAGTTATTTTAATTAAATTCTTAGCATAGTACTTTTTGTTTTGCTAATAAGAATTATATAAGTTATAACTATTATTTTTATTTTATTATACAACTTACATAATATTAAATTTGCCTTTTTTTCTTGCTTGATTTTAGGTTATGTGAAACTCTTATATTTGCATGTTGCACATACTCAAACTCTATTTGTGCTCGAAATGAGTGAGTGTAGACCTTCTTGTATGCCTTTCCGTGGGAGGGCTCAGATTGGAAGGCATTCTGCGACAATGAGTGACATTAAACACTGAAATGAGAGACTGAGAAGGAATCTTTTCTTGAAGATCTTTAGGACTAGAAAAGTACTCATGTGTGTCATCTTAGATAGCATTTTGCTAGAAGCAGTAGAGAAGAATAGAGGGCATATGAAGTCCTTCCCATTTTATAATTTTAAAATTGCAAATATCAATCACTGGACAACATAGACAATTTTGTCTCCTACCACATTACTTGTACCCAAGTTATCTATTTGGGACAGTGGTTCTCAACCTTCCTAATGCTGTGACCCTTTAATACAGTTCCTCATGTTGTGGTGACCCCCAACCATAAAATTATTTTCATTGCTACTTCATAACTGTAATTTTGCTACTGTTATGAATCGTAATGTAAATATATGACATACAGGATGTATTTTAATTGTTACAAATTGAACATAATTAAAGCATAGTAATTAATCACAAAAACAATATGTAATTATATATGTGTTTTCCGATGGTCTTAGGCGACCCCTGTGAAAGGGTCGTTCTACCCCCAAAGGGAGAATATTGATTAAACACCTTTGGGGATACAACACTTACAAGAGTTGTATAACCTAACATTCCAAACAGCAAACTCCTACTTCCCTTTGATGTTGAAATGTAAGACAAAAACTGGCAAAATACATATAAGAAATACAAAGGTAGTCACTTAAAGTGCAAGAAGCTTCTTTGTTTCCCAATACACTACTCTTATGGTTGCTACAATGCCTGAAACTCCATAGTTGTAAATCTTTTCTTTTGAGGTAACCCATTTGACCAGAATTGTCTATCCTTTTTAAACTTGCTGTTAATACAAAGAGGGTAAACTTTAGTTATGAAACTGTTAAGACCTTAGACATGGTCTCTGTGCTTTGGGAGATGAAAATGGGAGACGGGAAAATGTTAATTTTCCATGAAACAAGGAGGAGTAGGACATATTTGGGTAGATAACACAGGACTTCCTATGCAGACAGGCCACAGTGGTTCAGCAGGGCTTGGGTAGTCCGAGTGCGGGGTTGGAGGAGGGTAAAAGTAGAGACAGGAGGAGCGAGAAGGTACTGAAGCGAAACATCTCTGGTTTATTGCTATTGCTTAAAGTCAGGCCTCATGACAATCATATTTCAAATAAAGGTTTCGAATTAGAAACATTGCTTCTCAGTCCACTTTATACTCGGACCCTCCAACTTCACCTGGCTGAAGGAATAGAGGAGAGGGATGGATGTTCATGTGGGTGGGATGGAGGCTTGGACCACAGCTATTAGCTCAATGTGGTAGGATAGAGGGTGCATGGGGGTTCTTATTTTTGCAGATGCCTGCCTGCCATGCCTGTGCTTGGGGTGGAAGATTTCCTCCAGCTATAAGCTGCTTGGATTCTGTGTGCTATTCTCAGAACAATATTCTGCTATGTTGATGTGTTAAGTTTATGAATTTGATTGAAATTTATGACCAAAACTATTTTCAGCAACTTAAAATTACCATACAGTATATGTGCATGTGATGTGATAAATTGAGCCAATTACAAACCAACACTGGAAGAACAAACATGAACAGAATTTAGCACTTCTCTTTCACTTATCTCTTTATTTCAAGTACCAGAGGTTTTAGGATCTGAATTACCTACATGAATTGTCTCAGCATTTCCTTTCAATTTCTATATGGAGATAAGTCAAATTATAGCCAACATTGCCAATGCCCCCAATCTCTTTTTGGCTTCAAGATAATAAATATCTCCTACCAACCTAAAAAAAAAAAATAAGATGCCCTTTTCACTTTGACCATACAGATGGGAAAACTGTAAATAACAGATTCTTGACATGCTTCAGAAATAAAAAATGATGAAGAGTTCAGTTGTCTGATTAAATTCTCCCAATAAAATCTCACCTAGTCTATTCTTACCCCAGGGATAAAGGGCTGTGCACATAATGGACATTATTTTTCTTTTGAACATACTTGTATCTTGTCAAGATGTCGTCAATACAACGACTTTGACATTTTTAATGCAATGATTGGGAAGCGGGTTGAATTTTTCAATCCTCCCAGCCAATATAAGTCACTCTGAGATACTTAATTTCTAGTTGAGATCCTTCGTTTCTATTATAAACAGATCCTGCAGTGGGAAATAAATTTCATGGTAACAGTTTGGACTTTTTTATGAACCACCTGCAAGTTTTCTGCAAACAGCATGTTTTATGAGAGCTCAAGGCAATGTTCACCCATCAAGACCTGACGGTAAGGGGAGGATGGATGGGGCCTTATCTCAGGCACACATGTAACCTTCCTTGTCCCCTGGCCTGACCTCCCTCTGCACTCATTTATGAAAATGATTCATCTTTAAAGAGCTTTCTCGCTCTGCCTGCAGGCTGTAGATCTTTCTGCACTGGACTTGTGTAGGCTGAGGTTATAAACTTCAGTGTGTGAGCCATTTGGAGGTGCTTAATTTTGAATATTGGAAGAAGGAAAGCCCACAATACATGTGTTTCCTTAAAGGAACAGTCCTGGGAGCATCTTCCATGGAAAGATGCTCCCAAGGGATTCTATTGAAAAAGCCTTGCTGTGATTCAACTTTTATTTCTGTTACTAACGTGTTGCTACAGTTAGCACATTTAAATAGAGGATTCATTGAGCTTGAAAACTAGTGCTTGCATGGGTGGTGACATGCACCTGTCACCCTCTATATGCAGAAAGAGACTCTGCACATTGTATTTCATATTTGTAGAGGGCACTGCGAAAGGTATTATTTGTGTCAGAACTAGTGGGAATGGCTAGGTTGTTTTAGAATATTTCTTTGAGCTGAAAAGCCTTAGAAGGGTAGGGTAGGGACAATAATTGAAGGGAATAAAGATCTGAATGGAAGTAGAAATAGGAAGAGAGAGAAGACAAAATGAGTTGGTTTACCCATTGAGGTTGAATCCCATGGATTGTGAGAGCCCGCATTATTTCCACAGTTCTCAAAAATTGGGTCTCCCATTGGAAATATGTCAAGGCACCCAAAGAAATAAATATGCATAGGAGCTTGGGGTTAAAAGTGAGAGAGAAGATAGAAAATGTTAATATGATGGCTTTTAAAATTCAAATTTTTGTGAAGCAAAGTTTAAGTAGAAATGAGATGTCCTCAGTCTGGGGTAGTAAAACATTTTCTATGAAAGACCAGATAGTAAGTATTTTTGTAGGTCATGTGAGCTCTGACACTACTTCACAACTCTACCATTGTAGCCTGAAAGCAGACATAAACAAAATGTAAATGAGTGGGCATGGCTGTGCTGTAATAAAACATTATTTATGACATGAGGCAGCCTCATGTCATAAATGGATTTGGCTTGCTGGCTATAGTTTACCCACCTCTGTCCTAAACTACTTTGGTTTATCATCAAGCTTCAAACAGGCTAGACTCTTTCCATGTTTTTACATGGAGACCAATGACTGAAGGGAAGCAATAACTAAGGAGTAGCAAGAATGAGTCCAACAAAATGCAAGAGGATAATTGGTATTACTTGAATAAGGTTTCCATGGCTAAGTAAGTTTGGTAAATGTGGGTAAGTATTCCTGGTACTTTTAGTTTTTTAAATAAATTGAGAATGTCTAAGAGAAGATGAAGGAGGCAGTAGTTCCCACACCTCTTTGCCCATAGAACCTTGTTGTGCTCATGCCTGTTGCTATCTTTGGGACTCTAGGGTTCCTTGGAACACATTTTTGGGCAATACTGCCCAGGTGGGTTCTCCAGGCAAGTTTGAGTCTCTGAAATTTTCTATCTGCTCTGTCACAAGACAATACTGGATTATTGTTTTAGGAAGCCAGATGTCAGCCCTACACAGTTGCTTCAGACCATTCTTCCAAACTCCAGAAGCCAATAGAATAAAACTTGTCCCATGACTCCTATCCTGATGGCTTTTTTTCTTATGCCAGCTTACCCTTTTCTGACAGGTATTTAGTCAGGTGCTCCATTGGCCTGATAGTTGCAAAGTAAAAGTAGAAAATAGTTATTTTATTCTTTTTAAAATTCTTTATATATTCTACTTGTTAGAGATGTCATGAAAAGACCCAAAGAGGATAGCCTAGACATCTCTGATGCTGTGCATTCTTTTTATTTTTATTTATTTATTTATTTTTTTGGTTAGTGAATTTTTTTTTTAATTTTTTTTTATTGCTTAAAGTATTACAAAAAGTATTACATATGTCTCCTTTTTTTCCCCCCGCCCTTGACAATCCCCTGGCCTCCCCTACCCCCCAGTGTCTTATGTCCATTGGTTATGCTTTGCTGTGCATTCTTATTCCACGAAATACATTCTAAAGTCTTACCTTAAGGGAATTTGATCATCCTCACGAAGAGTAGTGATAAAACCCAATGGCTGTGGCCCTGGTGTGGCTCAGTTGCTTGGGCATCATCTTGTGCACTGAAAAACTGCAGGTTTGATTCCAGGTTGGGGGCATATGCCCAGGTTGCATACTTGATCCCAGGTAGGGGCCATACAGGAGGCAGCCAATCAGTGTTTCACTCTCACTTCAATGTTTCTTTCTCTCTCTCCCTTCCTTTCTCTCTAAAAATCAATAAAAAAGTCTTTAAAAAAGAATAGGTATGCTTTCTGTTCCCATTTCCTTATTTCCCATTCCTTCCTCAAAAAACAAAAAAAAAAACAAAAAAAACAAAACAAAAAAAAAAAAACCCAAAACAATGGCTGTGGAAATTTGTAAGGTATGGCAGTCATTCTCCTGCATGATGCTCTGTGTCATAGAGAGATAAATAATTCAGCTCATCTATACTGAGCACCTTCCATGTTCATGGCACAAACAAGGTGCTATGGAAATTACTATGATCAATAAGATACTGTTCTCATCTCTGAGAAGATTAAGCTAGGAGTTAAAGGAGTGAAGTTGAGCAGTGGTTTTCAAATTGAGGAACCCTGAAGATTTACAGAACTCCTCAAGGAGTGAGCTGAGGTGTCCCAAGATCTCTCAGCCCTGCTTCAATCAGAGTAGCTCTGATGTTATCTAGTTTATACTAGAGGACCAGCACACGAAATTGTGCACGGGTAGGATCCCTAGGCCTGGCCTGTGATCAGGGCCAATCTTCCCCTACTGCCAGCAGCCGGCCCTGTCCCCTGCTATTGACGCAGGTCACCCTCTATGTGTGGGGTGACTGGCAGGGTGATCAGAGCCCCACTTGCCTTGGCCTAGTACTGCTCACATCTACTGCCACCCACCCCTGGTTCCTTGTTCCCCATCAAGTGATCAGAGGTTGACAGCCAGGGGGAGGGACTGAGAAGTTGGCTGGCAAACCCCAACTGGACAATTGGGGCCTGAGAGCTGGGGGCAGCTCCTGTGTTGAGAGTTTACCCCCTGGTGGTCAGTGCCCATCATAGCAACCAGTCGTTCTGCTGTCTGGTCGATTTGCATATTACACTTTTATATATATAGATTATATATATAGATACTAGAAAAATACAATCATTGGAGTCCAAAAGACACATCCCTTCTACCTACCATTAAGGCTGCCACTTAATTCTCCTGAGCCTGTTATCTTATCTTTCAAATGTGGAAAATACCTAGACTTCACAGATTTGAGGTGAAGATTAAATGAGCTAATGCATACGAAGCATGCAGTTCAGTTCCTGACATATAGTAGTGCCTCAATAAAGGACAGGTAAGATAATAAAGTCAAATATGAGAAAAGTCAGAAAAAAGTCATAAAGTACTTCATACTCTATATTGAAAATAATTAGACTTAAATAATATTTGTTTAAAAAATTGAATGAGCCTGGCCAGTGTGACTCAGTGGTTGAGTGTCGATCTATGAACCAAGAGGTCATGGTTGGATTCCTAGTGAGGGCACATACCTGAGTTGTGGGCTCAATCCCCAGTGGGGAGTGTGCAGGAGGCAGCCAATTAATGATTCTCTCTCAACATTGATGTTTCTATCTCTCCCTCTCTCTTTCTCTCTGATATAAATAAAAATATATTTTAAAAATTGAAAAACTTAAAAACAGAATGAATGAAAGAAGGGATTGACAATCTCTGGCTAGGAATCATAGAAGTTTTCAAAGGAGTCAGAACTTTTGAGCTACACTTTTACTCCAGTTACTGAGTATCGATGGAGGGTCCACCCCAACCATTAACCTTAATAGAAGAATGTCAGATGTAGTCCGGACTACTTAGATTCCTCAAAATATATGGGAGTCCACTTTAGTGTATATAAGATCTACTTAGAGTCACTATAAAATGTCAGGTGATATTGTGAGAAGATTTTCCTAGAGAAAGAAAGGGAAGAGTGAAGGGTATGGGGGTGGGCAGGGAAGAGTGAGAGAGAGAAAAAGAGAAAGAGAGAGAGAGAGAGAGAGAGAGAGAGAGAGAGAGAGAGAGAGAGAGACTACAGCTCTAAAATGTAAAATAAAATACACTCAGGTGGGTATTGGAAATATTGGGAGAGCACTTTGTAAAGTATATGATTGTCTAACCATTATGCTTTACAACTGAAACCAATCCTTTTTAATAAAGAAGGAACATGCTAATTGACTGCCCCACCCTCAACGATGGTGGCGCCAACAGCCACAAGATGGCTGGTAGGGGAGGGCAGTTAGGGGGGACCAGATCAGCAGGGGAGGGCAGTTGGGGGTGACCAGGCTGGCAGGGGAAGGCAGTTCGGGGCAATTGGGCCAGCAGGGGAGCAGTTGGGCATTGATCAGGCTGGCAGGCAGAAGTGGTTAGGGACAATCAGGCAGGCAGGCAGGTGAGTGGTTAAGAGCCAGCAGTCCTGGATTGTGAGAGGGATGTCCAGCTGCTGGTTTAGGCCCGATCCTACCTAAACCGGCCTAAACTGGCAGTCAGACATCCCCTGAGGGGTCCTATATTGGAAAGGGTGCAGGTTGGGCTGAAGGACACCCCCTACCCCCAGTGCACAAATTTCATGCACCGAACATCTAGTACAAAATAATATTGAAAGAAAATTATAATTAAAAAGTAAAAATATTACGTAACACTAACTTTATGGAAGATAATCCTAATTTCACTATTTACTTTTCTTTCTAAACAATTGGAATAGCCCTGGCCAGTGTGGCTCAGTTGGTTGAGCATAATTCCCTGCAGCAAAAGGTCACCTATTTGATTCCTGGTCAGGGCACATGCCTGGGTTGTGGGCTTAATCTCCAGTAGGGGGTGTGCAGGAGGCAGCAGATCAGTGTTTCTCTTTCACATTCATATTTTTCTCTCTCTTTTCAAAAAACAAACAACAACAAAAAACTCCACAATGAAACATATTAAAAATAAACAAGTACAATAAGTTTTCTATGACTCTCCGTTATCAAAATAAGTAGGTCTGTAATTATATTTTGCAGTTATCAAGTTTCTTCTTAATAAGTTTCTCTAAAATATAAATTATAGCAAAGTATTTCTGTAGTATGGGACTAAATATATTCCAAATCCTCAATTCCAAAATGTCTAATTGAATGGGATTGCTCTTTTTACTATATACATGCAAAAATTTTTTCAAGATACTATTGTAACATCTGATGACAAGATGAACAGAGGCAAAACTAAGGAATAAAGATTGGAGGGAAAGGAAGAGGTGAAACTGAGAATGGTTTCCTTATTCTAAGTAAAGACAAGGAAATCCTCAGCATTCACTGTTTTCTCTGCAACTGAGAAGTAGAGAAGGTATTCTGTGACTTTCTTTCAGTATTACTTACATGAAGTATATCTCCTCTCCAATACTCATATAGTGAATTTGATTAATAATTGCAGCTCCTTCCTATGATTTCCTTTGTCAAAATAATAGTATTATCGAAATGTTGTTAATGTAAAAAATCACAACATACTACCTGAATTTTTGGGGGTCCTACTCCCTTCTCCTTTTTAGCATCCTGGACCAGTTACATCCCCTCTTCCCCAACAACTTTATAACTGGAAGCTTTTAGGGATATTTCACCTTTACCTACTGTTGTAAGTGTTTCCCTCCAAGTCCTGCGTGGTTCAGGGTTCGGGTCTGGAAGAGGAGCCGCACAACAAATGAAAAAGAAAAGACAAGAGATAATTTGGGAATATTGGGGGACCAGGCGGCAAGTCCAACTCAAGAGGAAGGACTTCCACTGTGCTCAGGCCTCATCAAGCTTTTTATAGTGAGGGGTAAACAAGGTAGTGGTTACCAAAGTTACACTTTTCTTGTGAGCTTCACTTGTTTACACCATGGTTATACTTCCTGCACTTCCTCAGCCCATTAGATTCCAAGATAAGATCTAGGGAGTGTTATAAGGTCAAGCCTAATTATGCTAAGGGGACTGTGCTCTCTAAGCTAGGACTTGTTTGTGACTTTGCCAGCAGGTCAGTCCAAGGCTTAACCCTATATCAGTTTCCCACAACCTACAAATAAACCCATTCATGTGCCTCACCCCAGAGTAGGGGAATATCTACCTTTCATCCAGCTTCAGTCTATCCCAGTTGGGGGCTCTAACACTCTGCTCATGCACTGCTGGCACTGGGTGCCAGGACAGTGGCTACATGGTTAAGGCTTCCAGGCACTCAGTTCAACCAGGAAATATTGCCCCTGCAGATATACCTGTTCTCAATGGGCTTAAATAATGCTATTTCCCACTTAACATGTTACATTCCCTAGACCAGGGGTGGGCAAACTTTTTGACTCGAGGGCCACAATGGGTTCTTAAACTGGACCGGAGGGCCAGAACAAAAGCATGGATGGAGTGTTTGTGTGAACTAATATAAACTCAAAGTAAACATCATTACATAAAAGGGTACGGTCTTTTTTTTTTTTTTAGTTTTATTCATTTCAAATGGGCCGGATCCGGCTCATGGGCCGTAGTTTGCCCACGGCTGCCCTAGACTGACTAAAGGTCTTGAGGGAACTAGGCTGGTAGGCAAATCCATGTACTGGACACCATGCTGTCAGAATCTCTTGCTTCTCTCAAACTAAGGCTTTCTAATTGGGCCAACCTTGTTTGCATGATCCTCTTTATTCCATACACTACCCTTTTGTCAGGAGTTTCCTGCAAATATCTACATTAATAAAAGAGAAATATGTAAATTGACCATCACTTCACAACACCCACCAGCCAATCAGGAATGAGTATGCAAATTAGTGGGACAAAGATGGCGGCAGCCACAGAGCCAGCCAGAGTGGGCAGGAGGCTTGGGTTGCCCCCAGCGATGGAGGAAGCCAAGCTTCCCACCCACCTTGGCTGGCTACTGAAGGAGGGGCCTGTGGGCAGCAGCCACAGAGCTGGCCTGAGCATGGGAGGCTTGGGTTGCCCAGGCCACCGCTGAGGGAGGGGCCTGCAAACTGCCCTCAGCCCTTCACCCAGGCTGGCCATGCCCCCATGGGGTGAGGTTCCCTGCTGGGTGGGCATGGCCAGTCTGCAAACAGCCATCGGCCCCTCACCCAGGCTGTCCAGGCACCCCAGCAGGGACTCCCATTCTGAAAGGGGTGTGGCCAGCCTGAAAACGGCCCTCAGCCCCTCACCCAGGCTGGCCACGCCCCACCCAGTGGGGACCCTCACCCCATGGGGGCATGGCTGGCCTGCAAACCACCACAGGCCCCTTGCCCAGGCCACTCTGTCCCCAAGGGAACCCTACCCTGATCCAGGACACCCTTCAGGGCAAACCAGCTGGCTCCCATCCATGCACCAGGCCTCTATCTATACTAATAAAAGGGTAATATGCTAATTGGACTGGGAGACCTTCCAGGAGACCTTCCGGAACTTCTGTTGGACAAAGCCATGGTGGTGGGGCCAAGGTAGAGGCTATTAGTGGCCAAGAGGGGAGGGCAGTTGTGGGTGATCAGGCCAGGATGGGACATCAGTTGTGGTTGATCAGACCAGTGGCGGGGGTGGGGGGGCTTTGGAGGTGATCAGGCTGGCGGGGTTGGGCAGTTGGGGGTGAGTGGGCCATTAATGGGGGTCAGTTGGGGATGATCAGGCCAGTGGGGGGGGGGCAGTTGGGGTGAGCAGGCCAGTGGGGAGGGCAAGTGGGGGCAAGCAGGCTGGCAGGGGGGGCAGTTGGGGGCGAGCACAAATTTCATGCATCAGGCCTCTAGTACTTAGTATAACATACATTTGGTACTATGCTTCAAGTACCATATCCATCCTTACCTTACCATCTGAAAAAATATTTTTAAGTATAATCCTACCCAAGAGCAACAAAAACTTACACCCACACAAAAACTTAGACACCAATCTGAGCAAGACTATTTATACTCACCAGAAACCAGAAACAATCCAAATGTCCCTCACATGGAGAATGGATTGACTACTAGTAACTATGGTACATCCATACAATGGGAGTATATTGCTAACATATGCAACAACTCAGATGAATTCAAAAGCATTCCACTAAGTAAAAGGATCCAGAGTTAAAAGGCTGCATATTATATGATTCCATTCATATGATAGTCTTGAATAAACACAACTCTAGGGATAGTGTTGCCTGAGGTTGGGGGCAGGAGTAGAAATTGGTGGGGCAATTGGTGTGCATGATGGACTTGTTTTATATCTTAATTGCGATGGTGGCTACTCAGCTGTATTCATTTGTGAAAACTCACACAGAAGCATCCACTACAAAAGGTAATTTATAGCTTAATTTTTTTTAAAGAAAAGGAAAAGTGTAACCATACTTAGCGGCTCGGTAAGGTAGATAGATATTTTACAGGTATTCAGTTTTAGTCCTGCTCAGGTGCACTTTTATTGAAGCTTAAATTTGGAACCAGCAAAGGCAGCATCTACTTTGGAAGAGGAATGCAGTAGTGACTCGGTTACCATTGAAGGGACTTCTGTTTGGAGGCATTTTGCAAGTACCAGGGACCTAATATTGTGGGCACTTCTGAATCCCCTAATGTTAGAATCCACCATAAGTCTACCTCTTACCTGGAAGGTGTGTCATAAGGATAAATTTATTAATGTATGCAAAGAACTTTGAAGATGAAAAGCAGTGACTGGACCTAAGGTGAAAACGTTTTGAAAGCCGGTGCCTGGGCAGGTTTTTCTATCACTCTGTCTCGATTTTTCAGCTCACAGCTCTGCATCTCTATACTGAAGCCTGGATCACTGGAAAGAAGAAAGGCGCTGTGAAAATGCTACCAAGGTAATGATGAGGTGGCAGGTTGGCTGACCAGACATTTCAAAGCCAAAACAATTCCACTTACTCCATATTCTCATCATTCTAGAAAAAATAAGCCTCACTTGCACAACACCTAATAGAATTCTGGTTGTGTCTCTCCAGCACACTATCCTGTAGGAATTGGCTACCTTCGAATCTGCAAGTCACTAACATTTCACTCACCGATCTTTAGCTTTTTTGATGCTGTTTGAAATGCTCAGAGGTCAGTGTAAGAAGAAGGAGATACAAAACCATCATGGAAACCTCCGTGAATGAGAACAACCACATTTTATCTCATGGATCTTAGTTATCAGGCCTTGTGTGGAACGCTACTTTACTTAAACCACTGAGAACAGCTCTCATCACCACTGTGAGCCTCTTTTCTCTACTATTTAATGACTGCTGGCACCAGCTTCCCTCTGGCACCTGGGACCCGGGCTTCCTTCTGGCCCAGCTTTGTCAGGAAGGACGTCCAGAATGATGTCCAGAATGACATCCGGTCTAATTAGCATATTACCCTTTTATTATTATAGATGTTTAGCAGCTCTGTAACAGGTTTGGGAAACAATGTACAGAAGAAACCATTATTCACTCAGATACTTTAAACTTTTTAAATAAGAATTTCTATAGACCTTAACTATAAGGCACCCAGAACAAAAAAACGTTTCTCAGATTGCTTCCAAATAGTTGATAATTTAGTCCCTTTTTCAGTCACTTAGCAAATATTGATTGACGATTATGTGCCAGCCACTCTTTAGGCACTGTTCTTGATCATGAAGAGAAAAGGGTGTTTCTGAACAAATAAAGATGCATATTTGCTTTTATAACGTGTGTGTGTGTGTGTGTGTGTGTGTGTGTGTGCGCGCGCGCATGAGAGAGAGAGAGAGAGAGAGAGAGAGAGAGAGAGAGAGAGAGAGAGAAAGAGAGTTTCTTACAAATTCTCTATATCTTCTAGCAGGAAATAGTGCATTACATTTCTATTATCTGTTAATTCCTTGGGAGATTTCAGAAAGCTTTGTTTATAGTAGACACTGATATCTCTTATTACTCCCCTGTCGCCCAAAAGGATGGATAATTGATTATGAACTTATAGCCAGTGGATGATATGAATGAGGAGGAGGTTGCCTATTGGTAGGAGAAGAGATCCTTGGTAGGGTCCTACTAAGAAATCTCATGCCCACTGTCTTGTTATAAATGTGTGAGATGCTGCTATTAGATAATCATTGTATTGTATTAAGCATTATTGTAATTAGTTAAAATAAGATATCCCATTGTACTGGAAGAGAGAGTCTATGCACTATTGTATTATTTGTGGTAACTAAGAGAAATCTGAAATCATGAAAGTACTTCCAAGGAAGTAGCTATGAGGAGGGGAGAAAAGAAAACAATAGTATTGGGAGCTTAGAGGTGGGGTTGTGTAGAGATAAACTCTATCTACTTAAAATTTCTTGCCTATGATTGGTTTTATGGGTGAAAAAAGACAGAATGCTGTGTCCAGTGATCTGTCTATTCATTTCCTAGAGTACTTAATTTTATAGCCAAATCAAGAAATTAACTGAGCCAGTAGGTTCATTATCAGACCTTCAATATATTGAATAATTTTGTGGTTCAAGAAAAAAAATTAAATAAAATATTTAATCAACAGAGTTGTTCCATTTATAGTAACCGGGTTGGGAAGCAGGAAAAGCTCTTAAACTAATGAACCACTAAACAAAATGTAGAGAAGATATTTTGGGGTCAGCCTCCCCATGGCAGTCGGGCATTTATTCTAATGCACATGGAAAGTCTGCCCTTGGTGCAATCTTGTCCAGTTGAGACACATAATTGTCTACAATGACCTGAGCTATGATTATTTGATTTCATATCAACACATTTGAGAAATGACAAAGAGATTATTTCTTTCCTCAAAAAGGCCAGGATCCTCTAACTATTTAAGCCCATGGGACTAACATTTGGCTCCAGTGATATGGAAACCTCGAGATGACAAGTAAGGCATTCTCTGGAAACCATCGCTCACTCCTTTTCCTGATGAATTGTCATGCCCTTCTGAGAACATAACCCATCAGTCCTCTGAAATAGAGAATCAGATAACTCAGTCATGCTCAGCTGATTTGCTAGCCGATAAATGATGAACTTTAACGACACTACCTGCCCACAAGTCTTTTGAGAAAAAAACGGCCCAAGTCTGAGATAATGAGACAACAGGACTTAGAGCAGAGTCATGCTTTCCCTTGGCCCACACAGCTAGAGTGGTAATTTCTGCATCTTCATCAGCATCCTATTTGTGCATTTCACCTGTCTCAGCAAAGGGTGCTGTAACAGACATTATTAGAGAATATCATGGTGCCAGGGACATAGTAAATATTCAATAAATAGTAGAGAAAAGAGGCTCACAGTGGTGATGAGAGCTGTTCTCAGTGGTTTAAGTAAAGTACCATTCCACACAAGGCCTGATAACTAAGATCCGTGAGATAAAATGTGGTTGTTCTCATTCACGGAGGTTCCCATGAAGGTTTTGTATCTCATTCTTCTTACACTGACCTATGAGCATTGCAAGCAGCATCAAAAAAAGCTACAAAAACAGATCCAGAGACAGAGAAGCATCCATCAGACCGTCAAACCTCAGAGGGAAGGTAGGGGAGGGTGGAGGTAAGGGGGAGAGATCAACCAAAGGACTTATATGCAAACATATAGGACTAACCAATGGACACAGACAACAGGGGGTTGAGGGCATGAGTGTGTGTGTGTGGGGGGTAATGTGGGGATAAGGACACATATGTAATAACTTAATCAATAAAGAAATTTTTAAAAAAGCTAAAGATAGGTGAGTGAAATGTTGGTGACTTGCAGATTCGAAGGTTGCCAATTCCTACAGGATAGTGTGCTGGAGACACACAACCAGAATTCTATTAGGTGCTGTGCAAGCGAGGCTTATTTTTTATAGAATGATGAGAATATGGACTAAGTGAAATTGTTTTGTTTTGTTTTTTTGTAGGGGGAGAGTAATTTGGGATGTAATAAAGTGATAGTATATATTGAGGTGGGTGGGGAGGATATTTAAAGGACTTTTGTATTTACCAACTAGGTAGAGACTCAGTCAATAGAGAATTATAGAGGTAGCTTCTGGAGAGGTGCTATTTTATTTTATTTTATTTTATTTTATTTTATTTATTTATTTTTTAAATATATTTTATTGATTCTCCACAAAGATGAAGGGAGAGGGACAGAGAGCCAGAAACATCGACGAGAGAGAAACATCAATCAGCTGCCTCCTGCACCCCCCTCACTGGGGACATGCCCACAACCAAGGCACATCCCCCGACCGGGTTCAGGACCCCTGAGTCCGCAGGCCGATGCTTAATCCACTGAGCCAAAACAGTCAGGGCTGGAGAGGTGCTATTTTAATGTTCTTGCCTGGGGTAATGATGATGTTGATAACAGTAGCAGTAGTAATAATAATTATAGCAGTAGTAATAAGACTTAACATTTATTGAGAGTTTACAATGTACTGAGGAGTTGTGATAATTGTTTAGCATGTATTATTTAATTTAATGCCTACAACAACCAAACCTGTGAGATAACCACTGTTATTACAATGAGGAAGCTGTGGTTTAGGGTTAAGTAAACTGCCCAAGGCCACATGGCTTGTTAAATGTGAAGATTCAAACTAGATTCTGAAGTTGAAATGTGTGGTTTCAAATGATATAAATAAGAATGATGGACAATAATTTTTAGACTAAAGTAAATACAATGTGAAAAATGGCAGAAAAGGAACATTATGATTCACATTCTTTCCAACTGTCTTTGTTTTAATTTTATTTCAATCCTTTTGATCTAGGGGCAATAAACTATGGCCCGTGGGCCAAGCCTGGCCTGTTTTTCTAGGACCTGTGAGCCAAGAATGGTTTGGGCATTTTAACTGGCTAGGAAAAAAAAAATCCAAAAAAAAGAATATTTCATGGCACATAAAAATAGTATGAAATTCAAATTTCGGTGTCCATAGTAAAATTTTATTGGAAGAGAGCAAAGCCCTTTGGCCTGCACAGCCTAAAACAGTTACTAACTGGCTCTTTGCAGAAAAAGCTTGCTAATCCCCCACTTTTGATTTTCATGGTAAAGAAGTTTCAAACAAAGGCTTTTGCTTTTCATTGCTGGGTTTGTACCCTGTGTCCCTCATTTGCTATAGCAGATGGGGAAAGACAGTTTAACCTTTCTCTTCCTCCATTTCCAGATCTGTACAATGAGATTAATGGCACCAACCTCAACATGTTGTAGTAATGATGTGAAATAGGATGCTGGATGGAGGGGTTTAGAAGGATGCCTGGCACAGGGTAAGTGCACAAATACATGTTTACTATTATTGTTCTTATTATGCTACCAAGTTTTTCCTCTATTCGTATGAATCACTCTTAACACCTAGTAGCCCCAAGACTGATTAGTTCAATTAAGGAAGGCAAGTCTCCTCTCACCACATCTCATTGACCTACATTATGAGAGCTGGAATGGTTGGTTTCTTGGGCTCTTCTGGCTTCAAGTCAGGAGCTGGTGAGGCACAGGTAACAAATTCACACCTCCCATCTCTTCAATTACAGCTGGTTCTAGCCTCACTGCCATTGGCCTTAAGCTCCTGTGGCCAGTTTAACTATTTGGGTGAGTGTGGGAAAATCCCTGTGGATATGGAGGCTAAAGCATTACTTGGTTGTTCATGACTACAAAAGGCTAGGAGACTTAGAAGGCTTTGCTTGCGTCTGTAAATAATACTAAAGGAAATAGGCTGTCTTATAGGTGAGAGGGATGGCCAGCTGTTTCTACGAAGCACGTTTTAGGGGCTTCATCACCAGCTAGGCCATATCAACTCTACGGACTGTCAGTCTCCTTTCAGAGATTCATTGATGGGAAGGGGAAGTGATACCTGAAAGAAAGAGGGATGAAGCGCCAAACTTCAGCTTTGCCTATGTTAGAGTGTTGTGGACGGAAGTGTTAATAGCAAAGATGATTTCCTCCTTAGAACTTCTAAGATAGGATCTTTCTAAAGCATTATGAATTCTGACTTTAAGCAGGGAAAGGGCCTGACATGAATATTTCAAAATGAGTCATTATCAACTAATTAGTCACTATAACTGGACTTTTCATTTTCACAAAACAGTAGTGAAACATTCTAGTTTCTTATTCAAAACCCACCATCTGCATTTATCTAATGCTTTATTCTGTCTTTTGCTTAACTTTGTTTTATTGTACTGTACTAGAATGGAATTGTGAGACTTAGGTTCATAGGTCCTAGCTTCCAACTCAACTACTAACCTTCAACCTGACTGAATTTTTGAGATTGTTAGTTAACCTTCTTAATTTTTTAAAAATATATTTTATTGATTTTTTACAGAAAGGAAGAGAGAGGGATAGAGAGTTAGAAACATCTATGAGAGAGAAACATCGATCAGCTGCCTCCTGCACACCCCCTACTGGGGATGTGCCCACAACCAAGGTACATGCCCTTGACGGGAATCAAACCTGGGACCTTTCAGTCCACAGGCCGATGCTCTATCCACAGAGCCAAACTGGTTAGGGCATAACCTTCTTAATTTTTAAGGAGAGAAAGGAATGTATTCAGAGGCATGTTGGTTAAATGTATGAATTCTGGGTTCAAATTCAGTTTACCCAATTCATGTCTTCATGATCTTGAATAAAGACAGTAGCATTTCTGTGTATTAGTTTCCCCAATCTGTAAAATAGGGTAGTGGTGATGTCTCTCCCATGAGATTGTTGAGAGGATAAGTGAGCTAATTTAGGTAGAATAGTTAGAATGGTGTTATCAGGCTGTTTATTATTGTTGCATTATTATCTCCCTTTGAGATTAGCACTGAATATATTATTGCAAGGAATCCCCATAGTGGCCATTTGAGTTAGGTGTCAGTCCAATAGATGAAATCATGACTAATTTGTTTAAAGTGATATAGATGGTAAATGAGCAAGCTTGTATTGAACCTAGTCTGATTAAGTGCAGAGCCCAGACACTTTCTGTGAATACCTTTACAGTTCTCAGATTCATTGATTCTACACTCAGGCTAACTCTAACCATGTAAGCTGTGTTAATTACTTGAATAACTAATGTTAATTACTTGAATAACTAATAAGATAGCACACTATCACTTGAATATTTTCACATAACCTATTTGCCTTACATTCTTTTTATTAAGAAGTTAAAATGTAAAGTCAAATAGTGAATTATGTTTAAGAAGCTACATGACTTTTAGGACTAAGTTTTTAGGATTTTTTTTTTTTCCTACTGCCAGGCACTCCGTAGAAAAGCTACTAGTATAAACACTTTATTTCTTATCTCCCTCCTGTGAGTGCCAAGCAAGCGAACCTTATATGAGCTTGTAAACTCAGAGTGAGTGTGTGTGGCCACTTGGAACATGTGATTGAATGTTGGTGGAGGAGGGAGTGGGAAAAGAGAAAAATGTAATTAATTGCTACCAGAGGAAAAAGTTGAACTGGGTGGAGGTTCAGAATGATTCACCTGGATCTTTGACTCAAGGAACTTAATGAGTTTCTGCAACGCCTTCTGATAAAAGTTTGGCCAAGGAGATGATATTTTGTTCAGGGTGTAACCACTCCAAGCCTTGATTACCATTTAGAAGCAGTGACTATCATTTCACAGAATGATGATTCAAAGATTGAAACGCGAAGGGGAATGGCTCACCTTAACTGGACTGCTGATTTAGGATTCAAAAAAGCACTCGCTTTAGCTATTTAACCTACCAAGAATAAAAAAAATAAAATGAAACAACATTAAAAATATGAACTATGCTTATAAAGGGGGAGAAAATAACCAAGAAGGTAGAACGAAAGATCAAAGTAGAGTAAACATGCATTTGTTAGAAAAGTATCCAACCCAACCAACAAAAACAAGTGATGAAAATAACAGACTTACCTCCCAGTGAAAAGGATGGCTTCAACAGCACGGTGAGTCTTTTATGAGATGTTTTAAACTATCGTGCATCTTGCTGTACTTGTAGTCACCAATTTAGTGTACGAAACTTGGGGATATCCCTTGCTATTGATTTTTAAGGTAGCTTTTGTTATATGTAATTCTATTTGGTAAATGTCCAAAAGGGGAAAGTGGGATGGTCCTTACCAGAGGTATCATTTAAAGTAAAACAATTGTGTTAAGCCTTCTCTAATGGGGGGGATGAGGACACATTTGTAATACCTTAACTACAAAAAAAAAAAAAAGAATAAAAGATAATTGAGCTCAGAAAAAAAAACAAAACAAACAAACAAACAAACAAACAAAAGCTCAGATGGTTTGCAATTGAAAAATAGAGTCCATTAGCATGACATCCCAATCTTTTAAAAACTGGTGACAGCTAGTTTTTGCTTTGTATCTTGTCATTTCTTCCTGGGAATTCAAACACCTCCTGGGTGTTTGAACTTCCCAGGTCTCTATGAGTGTTCTGAGGCTTTGGCCTCTCTGCCCCTAACTCCTTCCTGGAATGTAACTCCCAACTTTTCTCACCCAAGGAATTTCTATTTTTCTTCAGAAACCAGATCCTGACTCTTCCAAAATTTTTGTGTTTTAGATGCATCTCTTCCTGTGCCCATTTAGTAATTTCCAAACATATTGTACATAAAAGTATGCATATATAAGAATTTATTTAACATTTTCTCTACTTGTAGAGAGGTGGCATTTTTTTCTTCTTGTAAACACATTACAATAGCTTTGCATATAAATCCCTCTGAGCTTTATTGACACATTTAAAAAATATTTGAGCCCCTAGCCGGTTTGGCTCAGTGAATAGAGAGTCAACCCAAGGACTGAAGAGTTCCAGGTTAGATTCCAGTCAAGGGCACTTAACTCGGTCATAGGCTCAATCCCTGGGCCTGGTCAGGGAGTGTGCGAGAGGCAACCAGTCAATATGTCTTTCTGACATCAATGTTTCTCACTCTCTCTCTCCTCCTCCTCCATTCCACTCCCTCTAAAAATTAATGGGAAAAAATATCCTTGGGTGATTATCAACAAAAAAAATAAAAAATATTTTTAAAGTAAAGTAACTAGATTAAAAAGTTTTAATACTTTCATACCCTTGGTACATATGCCAAGTTGCTTTCTATAATCACTTAGGCTGGCACAGGAAGGAATGTGGAAGAAATATAAATTCTAGCAGCCTGACCCAAGACCCAACCAGTCAATTTTTGGAAGAGAGTTAATAGGGAAACATTTCAGGATATCTTCACATCTAAGTTGACGCTTGAAGGAAGGAGAGAGGATGGTCTCTGTAAGGGAGGACCTGGATACATGTGAAGGAGTTTGATTCATGGTTCATCTTACATCTTACATCCCTTTTGTAGATGGAAATGGGGACCCAATGAAAGATTGAAAGTTAAGGATTGATAGAATTAAGTTTGCATCTTAAAGGGATTACTCTGGTTACAGCATAAACCATGGACTGAAGCGAGGCAAATTGAACATAGAATATAGTTAGAAGACTATGGCAGTAATCTACACCCTAGATGGACTAATCTCAGCTCTTGAACATGGAGATTTATGGAAGTGTATGAACTGATAAGTTGGAAAGGAGACAGAATTAGCAGAAATTATCTTATGGGCAAGGATTTTTTCCAGGTTTTTGTTTTTGGCTACTGTATTGATGGACATGCATGTTCTAAGACAGACAATATAGAAAGAGTTGCAGGCTTCAGGATAGGGAGGTGGGGAGAAAGAGATGACAACTTGAGTTTTGGTTTTAATTTTGAGATTCTTGTGAATCATCCAAATGGAAATGTCTTAAAAGAATTTAGCAATTAAGAAATGGTAAAGATTTGGATTTAGGAAAAAAGAGTATGGATTTGAGAACTTTCAGAAGAATACAGGAAGATTTTAAAGAAATATGGAGCTAAATTATGGATCCAGGTATAAAATTTATGCCAATGGAGGGTGCAAGGAACTACAAGAGGACAAAGTGATATGTTCAGTGTGTTGCTTTATATTAGTCCCCAAGAATCAGAGCTTTAATGGTGCTTAAAGAAAAATTTAGAAAGAAGTAGTAGTGCTTATTAAGCTCATAGCTACTAACTAGAACAATGAAAGCTCTCATTTTGGTGCCATCATTAATTCCACTTCGACCATGAGCTTTAGATAACTTCAAACTTTCATCTGTAAATGAAAATAAGAATAACAACCTGATATAGAAGACCATTTAAAATAGATCAAATATATCTTAAAACTAACAGAAGTCTAGATAATTTCAGAAGCTCTTACTATATTTGATATGGGATCTCTAAAGATAGTATTTCTTTTGCATAACAATGCACATTCATATTTGAAAGGTATTTCACTTTGTACGAACACTTTCAAAGGTATTACATTATTTGACTCTCACAGTCATCTTGTGAGACAAGAGAGTCATTATTATTCTTTCAATTCTTTCAGATGAGAACACTGAAATTGTGGAGGTGAAAGGACTTGCCCAAGATTAAGTCACTATCTAGAAAGTGGTAGATTTGGAAATTTATTTCAAGTGTGTGGGCCACAGATAGAATTGCAATATTTTTAAAATAAATTTTATTGATTTTTTACAGAGTGGAGGGGAGAGGGATAAAGAGTTAGAAACATCGATGAGAGAGAAACATTGATAGCTGCCTCCTGCACACTCCCTCCTGGGGATGTGCCCACAACCAAAGTACATGCCCTTGACTGGAATCAAACCTGGGACCCTCAGTCCATAGGCTGACACTCTATCCACTGAGCCAAACTGGTTAGGGCTGGAATTGCAATTTTTACAACTATTCCCTAAAAGGTTGTATTCCAATTAAATGAATTCACTCAATCAGTTAAATTATTCAGATTAACTAATAGAATCAATGTCAGACATGTGCAAGGCATTGTGTAAAGCAGTGGGCAGACCTAAAGACAGAGATGCAACATCTCTGGGAACTGATAATTAAGTCATATCAAACAGAAATGCCTGGTCAATTAAGGGATAGTTACAACAATACAAGATGATAGCAATAATACAAGAGATCTTATAATGTGTGGAATGGAGTCATTAGCAAAAACTTCATGGAGGAAGCAGGACTTAATTTAGCTTATAAGATGAGCAGAGAGAAAAATGAAAGCACCTTAGCCCCAAGACACAGGGAAGACAAAGGCCAGGAGAAGGCAAGTTGGAGGCATGCTTGGCAGTCAGTAGACCAGGTTGGCTGGTGTAGATGGTTCATGTAGTGAAGCCATATTGAAAACCCGATAAACGTCAAGTGGGCCAGATGTTGGAGAGCCTTAAAATATTGATCTAAGGGAGTCAGTAAAGTTGTGAGTTTTCCCCCTGAATTATTTTATCAGATTATCTTAAAAATATATGATCAATTCAGTGGAAGATTTCTGAAATTCCACTGCACTGATTAAGTTGATTAAATTGATCAAGTTTGCTCATTTTACTACTGACAGTTTTGGAAAACCTTCAGGCTCTGGCAGCAATCAACTGCATTTAAGTAATCAGAATTTTATGCAGAATTTATTTGCTATTTCTTGTTAAATTCCTGTTTTCAAAAAAGGATTTAATGAGGATCTTTGGAAACTTTTCATCTGCTAAGGGAGGTGCACCCTTTAAACTTTTGTGGGGACTTTCCTGACAATTTCCTTGAGTTTAGCTTTTGTTAGACTAATTAAGAACAAGGACTAAACATTGAATATAGCAACTTTTTTTTTTTTTTCAGCAAGAGAATGCAGCTGTCAAAGCTGAACATAAAGTCAGAGAGTTTAGCAAGTATTGAGCATATAGTTACAGATTAGCACCTCTGGCATTGTAAGTCACTTGTTTCAAACAAGCAAGTGAACAAATACGCAAGCAAACAAACAAGTAAACAAACACACACTAGTATTCAAGGAAGCTAAACCTGAGGCTACTTTTAAATGTTATCAAAAGCCCTATCAGAAAAAAATATGACAAAAATTACTGTACTTTGAGTGATAACTCTAGTTTTTATTAATGGCTGACAAATTATGTAGCCAGTAGACACATTTGGTTATCTGTTGGAGATATCAGGGATATCACAACATTGAGGATGCCTTAGTATGAGCAGTGGCAAGAAGCTAAAACCTTCTGTACCAACATGATTATGTAATGCTCAAGATGTGCCAAAAACTGCTAATCCTGACGAATGAGTTCTGAGCAGTGAAAAGGAAAATGCATTATCTGCACTAGGCTCTGGGACATGCACTGGGACACACATTTCATGAACACATAGGAGTTCTGTGGTGAGTAGCACTTCTGTGAAGGGAGAATACTGTCTCACTAGACAAAGTTTTCACTATCATTTGGTGAAACTGAGTCAGGTGTTATTTGCAAGTGAAGTGAGTAAAAGAGGCATAAACAGCCAACTCTTCTGATTCCATGGAAGAGGTAATTTTCATGTCCAGGACACATGTGGACTCTTAAGAAGCATCAACTTCATTTTGCTCCAACAGGAGGTGGATTTGATATGGGATCTCTAAAGGTAGTATTTATTTTGCATAACAATGAACATTCATATTTGAAAGGTATTTCACTTTGTACAAACACTTTCAAAGGTATTACATCATTTGACTCTCGCAGTCATCTTGTGAGACAAGAGAGTCATTATTATTCTTTCAATTCTTTCAGATGATAAATTGGGGAGTTGTCCCCTTAAAACATTACCCTATTTTTAAAAAACAGATCTGGGTCATATAATATGGGGTAATAAAGACATTTTTTATTACTGTTACATAAGCAATCTTGAACTATCACTGGCAGCAGTAATTCTGAATCAAGACATATATTTCTTCATATGTTAAAAATATAATGGATCTTTATTGTCTCTGAGGATATCTTCTAAACACATTTTCATTGTTTATGACTCTGAACCTTTAGTGTCTGAGCTCTAGGGTTTTGGTGGTTGGGTGTGTTTACTCTCAGAAGCTTGCTCTTTGTTACTATGCTTCCAACAGCAGGGTTATCTTAGAGACAGTTAGACCTGACAAAAAAATAAGTAAGTAAGTAAGTAAGTAAGTAAGTAAATAAGTAAGTAAGTAAGTAAGTAAATACATAAATCAATCAATCAATCAACCAATCAATCACATCTAGAGCCAGATCTGTGGGATGCTTATTTGTAATCTCCAACTTAGTTCTGTTCTTAAGTGATTTAGCCATGGACACATAATTTGTTAGGGCAGAAGTTGGTAAAAACTGGAGGTCCTCTACCCAGCCAGTGTGGCTCAGTGATTGAGCATAGACCCATGCACCAAGAGGTCGCTGGTTCGATTCCCAGTCAGGACACATGCCCGGGTTTTGGGATTACTCTCAAGTGAGGGGTGTGCAGGAGGCAGCTAGTTGATGTTTCTCTCTCATTGATGTTTCTATCTCTCTCTCCCTCTCCCTTCCTTTCTCTAAAATTAATAAAAACATATAAAATAATAAAAGCAGAGGTCCTCTCATTTCTACCCTTATATTTTCCCCCTTTTATCATGCTCTCAATTTTATTCTTTATATGTATTCTCTATCAAGTAAATCTACTACATTTTATTTTTTTTTCCTCTTTAGGAACATAAAATTTGTCCATGTTCCAAATTGATTTCCCTTTATAAAACTTGGTTGTATGGAAACTCCCCTCAACTTTCTTAGGTTTAGTATAAAAGTTGAAAGATCTTGGTGCTTGATTTTAAATTAAAATAATGGAATCATAAAAGAAATTTTAAAAATGTATGGGAACAGACTGACAGCTGTCAGAAGGGAGGGGGACATCAGCAGGACTGGATGAAAGAAGGTGAAGAGATTACCCAAAGAACATGTATGTACAACCCATAGACACAGACAACAGTGAGGTGATGGCCAGAAGGAAGGGGGGCGTGGG